CTATTGTGAGGTATTTGGATAGGATATTATTACATGTAGTAGGTGAAAGTACTATGTTGTGAATCCTGTATTCTAATGTAGGAATAATGACCATGTTGATGATATAGACAATTTGTTTGTCTGTAATTTTCTTTGTACTAGCGATATAGGTTAGCTGCAGAGTTTCGGCTTTACAACTTTTGTTAAAAGCCCAAAATTAATTTATTTAATAAAAAAAGGTTTAGAATACTTCTTTTTTTATTTTTATTTTTATCACTTTAGCCATCTTGCCAGTGATCATTTATTAAGATTATTGCAATAGTACATACTACAATATTGAGCTTAATATTTAGGTCTGATATCTCGCAGTTACTTCGAGAGCACTTACAAGTAACCGGCTGCACCGGGCCAACCTTCTATTTAAGAATATTGATGATCTAAGTCAAAACTTAAGCCAACCCCAGGAACTTATATCAGACTATCACCCTACAATAAGATACCACCAATCTGATGATATCTTCTCATAGGAAAGTGATAAAAACAAAAAAAAAATCCTCTAATATTAATACTAATCCTAAAAGGGTAAGAAAAAGAAACAAAAACTAATATTAAAAAACAAATACAAAAACAAAAATGGAAAAAAAAAGAAAAAAAGAATCTGACAGGTCACATTTATAAGCCTGTATCAGGCCAAAAAAATTACATATTACTAGATAAAAAAGCTCTATAATATTCTCTATTCTAATAAACTATGTTTAAAGATGAAAAAAGTAATCAAAAAGCTGGCTGAAGCTAGGCACTATAGTCACCACTAGATAGAGTCAGCCCAAAATCTAAACCAGAAGTCTCAGAATATTGTTAGAACAGTTTTTTCGATTACAAAGCACGTGTTTGTGTTGTCCTTGATCTATACTCGGTTGCTTATTCCGAATATTCGATCGCTTTCCTGTTTTGGGGTCATCTAAAGCCATGTATCCACATGACTTTTTTGTATAAATCAACCAACCGGAATTGCGAAATTTTGTTTACACAGATCAGTTTGAAGAAGTCAAAAAATAAAGAAAACACAAAAAGACGAAAAACAACAGTCTTAACCTATCTTGAGGCACTAATTAAAAATGTCGGGAAGGCAATTTTACTTATACTCCTCTTCTTATATTAACACCCAACTAACCCTAATTCTAACCTTAATTTTAATTTAAACGATTAAAACGTTAAAATCACGTGGGTACATGGCTTTAGCCATCCCTCTGTTTTGGAAATCCCATTCACAACGCAAACAGGTAAACAATACCGACTATTTTGGCAAATTACGTGTTAATCTTTTGAAGGGGGTAAGCTGGGACGCACATTTTTTGACAAAATTTTCTCAAGAAAAGTGATAGGTCAATGAAACTTTTCTGTGGTTGTTTCTTATAAGTTTTATGGTTATATAGATAGATCCAAAGTTTATAATACTCCTGGTATCGACCTAGTTGTTCTATGTTTCCAAAATATTCTTTTGGTTTGGGTGCCAAATATAATAAAAGAGTCTGCCAGAAGAAGAGCTTGACCTCTACAAAAACCAGTCCAAAGTAGACTGTGCCTTGGTTTTACACTCTTGGTACTTCGTTGACAACACACCTATTTGTGTAAAACCAAGTTTATTATTTACTAAAGTGTCTTCTATAGCACTAACTATAATTCGATTTCTTGATTTTTGTTGACCAGATGATCATTAAAAAGAGTTGTGCTTAATAATTTTGGGTTTAAAACACTTCACATTTGGCTCAATAGTAATATTTACTTATAAAAATTTGCAAATCCTCTTCAGATGACAAATAGATTGTCTAATCAATTACCAAAATATTTTTAATCAAAGTTTAAAAAAAATTTTAAAACATAATATATTACATAAAAACTATTAAAATTATTTACAAAATTTAATTAAAAATATTTTAACTAATTGATCAAATTTAATTTCATCAAAATTGATTGATTGGTTGCCAAGATATCTTCAATCAAAATTTGAAAAAATTTATAAAATATAAAAACTACCAAAATTGCTTACAAAACTTTGATTGAAAATATCTTGGAAATCAATTAATCAAATTTGATGAAATTTTTTTTTATTTGAATTCTACAAAACGGTAGAATTCGGATTGATCAATTGGTTGCCGAGATATTTTCGATCAAAGTTTGAGAAATCTTTTAAAATATATAGAAATTGCACCGAAATTATTTACAAACTTTGATCGAAGATATCTCGGCAACCAATCAATCAAATTCGACAAAAATTTTTTTTTATGCAAGTTCTACATAATTGTAGAATTCAAATAAAAAAATTTTCTTCGAATTTGATCGATTGATTGCTGAAATATCTTTAATTAAAGTTTGAGAAGATTTGAAATAATGCAATAAAATCGAGTGATTTACATGCACCATTGGTACGAATAGCAGTTCCCAAATTATATAGTAAAAATAATATTTATTAGGTAGTATTTTCAAGTAAAAGCTTACCTAATATAAAATTATTAAATGTTTAATTGGCTAAAAAATGTCGTTGCCCTATTAATTTTAAATACGTATTAAGCATGTAGAACGAGCAACCCTTGATTTTAAATACGTATTAAGCATGTAGAACGAGCAACCCTTGATTTCGAGATCGAATTTGTCGGAATTCAGAAGTTGAATTCAGATAATTTTGGAATCACTTAATCGTTCAATAATGCGGCTCAAATAATCCAGATTTAATCATCAGATCCCAAGTAATCTAACCTAAAAAATTTAAAAGGGGATATATTTATGATATAATGCGATATATAGATTTTCATAAAGTCATTTCGATTCCACTTAAAAAAAATTGTTTATTGACAACATAAATAAAAGTATTAACACTAATATTTTATAGTTATTTACTAATTACAGCTATCAGTCAAGTTCTTGTTGTACGAATGTAGGATATTTTAATAAAACTTCTTCCCAGGTGATATCTTCTTCAACCAAATCTTTAAGAACTTGAAGTATGGTGTCAATCTAAAAGAAAATTTAAACATATTTAGAGATAAATTTTTATAAGACCACCAATCGTTATAAAATGGTGTTACCTTCTCTCTGATTTGTTTAGTAGAATCCCTCTCTCGCAATGTTACAGTGCCATCATTCACAGATTGAAAATCAATGGTGATCGCAAATGGTGTACCAAGCTCATCGTTACGAGAATAACGACGTCCAATCGAATTGGAAGAGTCATCTACCTTAATGGCAATATGAAGCTTACGAAGTTTAGAAGCTTTGGGAAGTTGTAGCATGCATTATTGTGAATGAATAAGAAAATCAATCAATTATCATACTGAATGATTATTATCATATGAAAATATAATAATATATTAATAGTACTCACAAAGATCGCGTACGAGTTTAGAAAACGTAGGATTATTACTTAGAGGCACTAATAAACATTTGAAAGGTGCAACGCGTGGAGGGAACGATAAAACCTATTAAAAACATAATCAACAGTTAATACTGAACTTATTAGATTTTGAAGTCAAAAATGCAGTAACATACCGCCCTTTGCTCATCACCTTCTCGTGTCCAATATACATGTTCAATCAATGAATACAAGATTCGACCAATACCAAAAGATGGTTCTATAACATTTGGAATATATTCCCTGACTTTATAACCAATTCAAAAAAAAAGTAGAAATAGCATTATAATAAGCAATAAATCAAAAAAAAAAAAAAAAAAAAAGATAAGTAAATATAATAGTAAATTCCCATACCGTGTTCTGTGATGGTCTGTTTTTGGATAGTAATAAAATCACTCGATATTTCATATTGATTACCATCAGCACAGGAGACCATGGTTTTACTAAACCATACCAAAGCTTATTAACGATTAAATCATTAAATTATGATCATATGTCTATAGAATTTACCGAATTTACCCATTTCCATTCTCTAATTCCTTTTTCAAAGCTTCTAATTGTTCTTCATTCAAGTTAGTTAAATACTCTTCCACCATTTTTGCATTTTGTCTCAGCTTGGGACCAAAGATTTTCTTGTTGATTTCCAGGACAGTTTTTTCATAGACCAATGGCTCAGCTAAGGTCTCACGCACGATAAGCTTTTCTTTTGTACGGTTTGTATGAACGGTCAAATCATATGCAGACCGATCAGCGCAACCGACACATTCTATCCATCCCTAATGAAAGTTGTTAAAAAAAAATTACAAAGAGAAATTTATAATATAGACATTAATGAAGAGATAACACACATAGCTACTTTGAATTTCTGCATCCCAACAGTCACAAGCATAATGTGCCATCTCATTAGGCATATGTTGACGAAAGCGAAGTCTCTCGGATTTAATACCAAGCATAGTTAAAAATAGATGTGTACGAGCAAGGAAATAACCCAAAGTTTCATTGTCTACAATTTTCTGTGTTGTCAATACAATGTAAATTTATGAGTTAATCAAGAATAAATTATAGAATCGGGTTGAGAATCGAGTTGAGAATTACTTTTTCAACAGCTTCACCAATAGTCAATTCGATAGGTATTGTTTTACCTTCACTTTGTATATGTCGTGGCAACAAGGAAAGTTTAATGTCTTTTACTTCATCAAAACGGATATGTTTCTTGTTATTGGGATCTACGTAATGCTCAATTTCAGACATTGTAAATTCTCTAAATAATTAAGCATACTCGTCAAAAATAAATAAATAAATTAAATAAAATAAGCAATAATTGAGATAATTCTCACCTGACTCGGAGAAGACCCGATCTTGGACTAATTTCGTTCCTAAAAGAACGACCGATAGAAGCGGAAGCGAATGGCATTTTATCATTATTAAATTCAAGAAATTTCTTAAAGTTGAGAAATTGGCCTTGTGCGGTTTCCGGTCGAAGGTAGCTAAAATGCCGAAAATGATAAACGAATTAATATCATTACAATTTAATAAGTATATGAAAGTAAAATCAAGAGAGATTTAGTTACCCTTTCAAGTGTCCAGTGGGCCCAATGCTACTCTCAAACATTAAATTAAATTCAACAGGTTCGGTTAGATCATTACCCGTCTCGGGACTTTTGATATTATGTTTACGTATAATTTCTCCAAGTTC